GTTGGGTGATCACCTGGGGAGATGATTTAAACCATCAAGTGGGTGATTATCCCAATTTACCCTATTATAAGCCGTAATGGGTAGCACTCATCACGCTGGTACTGTGCCCAACATGTTTATCTGTCTGTCTATCTGTCTGTCTATCTGTCTGTCTGTCTGTAATTTGGTTTATGTGTCTGTCTGTCTGTATCTCTTTTTCTCCCCATATTCTTAGAGGTAGGGAATGGAGGTGTAAATTTCCCTGCTATGCCCCAAGATTGACAAGGGTATAGGGATTTTTTTTTTTTTACTTGGGGGAGGAAGAGATTGAATGGTATAAATTTCCCCGCCACAGCAAAATCTATAAAGGAAAAATTCTTGGTATGCAGAATAATGGAGGAAATTTCCCTGCCCATGCTAGGACCTACAGGGAAAAAAACATTAAACGTGTGGGGATATTTTTTCGGAAGGGGGGAGAGTGAATGGGGGAAGGTTCCCCGCCACGTCAAGACCAACAAGAGTGTAAAGGTGAATTGAGAAAAAATTTCCCCGCCACGTCAAGGCCCATAGGGAAACATTATTAGGGTGTGGGGAGGAAGGGAAGGAAGGGAGGAAGGGAGGTTTTCTTTGACGTTAATGAAGAAATATCTAAGAATTTTTTAATGATTCGTGTAACATGAGGTGATGAGGTATCTCTCTCTCTCTCTCTCTCTCTCTCTCTTTCAATTTATTATAAAATGCATATAGAAAACATCAGTAACATTATGTTCGTTAACATAAGCTTGAAGAAACTTCTTTTAAGAATCAGTCGAGTCATTAAAGATACATTAACACCAAGATCCGCTTTAGAGGTGAGGGCTGGAGGTAAGGGCTGAGGTGGAAGGCTGGAGGTAAGGGCTGAGGTGAGGGCTGGAGGTAAGGGCTGAGGTGAAGGCTGGAGGTAAGGGCTGAGGTGAAGGCTGAGTGCGAGAGCTGAATGTAAGGGCTATGGGCTGAGGGGTGTGGGCTGAGGGATGAAGGACTGAGATTTGAGGGCTGAGGTCTTAGGGCTGAAGGCTGAAAGGCTGAAGGTTGAGGGACTAGAAGCTGATGGCTGAGGGCTGTGGTACTAAGGTCTGAGGACTAAAGGGCTGAAGGCACAACATACAGGTGACCCTCTCCCCCACCTACACCTTGTCCTTGTTTACTACAAGAGATACTAATTGGTGATACAACCTCTCTCTCTCTCTCTCTCTCTCTCTCTCTCTCTCTCTCTCTCAAACACACACACACACACTCTGGGGAAAGTCTGCAGGATATTTTGTGAAGTGAAAGGACGGCCGTGTGTCATCCCAGGAGACTTCTATATACGCCTCTACAGGGTATAACAATGTCCCGAGCTCTGATAGTGGAAAACCTCATCACCCAAGGAAAGGCAAACATGTACTAAGTCACTCTACACGCATAATAGATTCTTCCAAAGGTGATAAATCAAATTCTTTATCATTTGAATCACAATTACTGGAGTCCCGAGATATTTGAAGATTCGCTTAAAATCATGATGTCCTTTGAGATGAAGCCATATTAAACGCCATCTCATACACACAATACAGATACACCCTGAACCTGGAGCAATTGAGTCACAGAAAACGATTCAATTCCCTGACGGGGTTCTGTAGGGTAACTATCCCACACTCTTTAAAGCTTTGATATTTCTTCACCATCTTGACGTCAGAAGTGAAGTTTTTCCATGATGATTTCAACCTGATTTTGTCTCTGTTATATAATTAGGTAAATGCTGAGGTCCTTAAGGGTAACTATCCCTGGCTGTTCCTGTAACCTGTAAACCTATACTTGTTCACAATATACAATACATGTAGGGCTTAGAATCGTATATGCACCTGAGTATAATCATCCCCTTATATAGGAAAATAACAGAACTACACTGGGTCAAGATGGCGACGTAACTTCACTGAGACTATACCTAGAATATGTTGCCATGCCTCGATTATATTACAATAGACAGAGAAATACCCAAAATACACAGATCGAATTAGATAGATAGATAAACGAGAAGATAATAGAGAGAGAAAGAGAGAAAGAGAGAGAGATATAGAGAGAAATAGACAGACAGACAGACAGACACACACACACACACACACACACACACACACACACACACACACACACACACACACACACACACACACACGACTCATATATATAAGTACATGCCCCCCCACAACGCCCCAGTTTAATGACAACCGCCATCTCACTTAGCAGCAGTTCACTTCCCACGATACACCACTAAGATGCGTACCACTTTATTCCTCGCTCTCCTTGTCTGCTTTGGTGAGTAATATACCTGTGGTCTCATTAAACAGTAGGTGCATTCTACGTCTGTTTGACTGTCTTTTTTTTCATTTTTTTCTCCCCCATGCTCTGTTTCTCTTCTTTCATTGTGTTTTCTCTCTTAATAAACAGAGGAAGTGTTTGATATAATACTATAATTACGCGTCTTAGTTATTTTTATAACCTAGACATCATCTTCATCGTCATCGCCTTCTTCAGGTTAAGTTTTTATACAAATGAAGGTTTATTTTTTCCCCTCACGATGCTCTTGTTAATGGACGATAAATCTATCAACCTCATATCATATAGCGATTTAATTAACCAATCTCTTCTATTAATCCTTTTTCATAGTGTAAATCGTAGTTTATTTACTTTATATCTCCATAAATCATATTTTTTTTGGCCCTCTGAGGGATATATAAGTAATTTAGATAACATAATTGATTTAGTATCCAAACTATCATATCCCCGGTTCGTCCACCTCTCCCCAACACACCGACCTTGAGAGAGCGGCCCAGCAACACCCATTGGACTCGTAGTAAAGGTTATTATATTACACAGACAGAGCACAGAGGTCGAACGCTGTAGTTAGACACCTTGAACTTTGTATATCACCTCACCCAAGGGCACAAAAGTCTCCTCACTCAGTCCAGCTAGTGTGTGTGTGTGTGTGTGTGTGTGTGTGTGTGTGTGTGTGTGTGTGTGTGTGTGTGTGTGTGTGTGTGTGTGTGTGTGTGTGTTTTGGTGATCATTTTTCTCTATCTCTCTCTCTCTCCTATCTATTATCCGCTTTCTATCTGTAACTGTCTTTCTTTCTACTGGGTGCAATATATCATTCATTATTACCTCTCTCTCTCTCTCTCTCTCTCTCTCTCTCTCTCTCTCTCCTCTCTCTCTCTCTCTCTCTACTAAACCCAATACACCAAACACCTAACCATATACACTCTCTCTCTCTTTCTCTCTCTCTCCCAGCTGCCGTGTTAGGCCAGAGGGACAGGATAGTGACCAAGTCCCTAGTCCTGGACAACGGCATGGACTGGGGTAAATGGGGCGAGGCTGATTACTGTGACGATGGCAGTTTTGCTTCCTTTATGGAGGTTAAGGTGGGTAGTCTGGCAATTACTGAGTCTTAATACACATTTCTCAGTCATTAGTGAGTCTTAAAACAGGTTCTCCACCAATAGGGAGTCTTATCACAGATTCTCCACCAATAGGGAGTCTTATCACAGATTCTCCACCAATAGGGAGTCTTAACACACATTCTCCACCAATAGGGAGTCTTATCACAGATTCTCCACCAATAGGGAGTCTTAACACACATTCTCCACCAATAGGGAGTCTTATCACACAGTCTCCACCAATAGGGAGTCTTAACACTCATTCTCCACCAATAGGGAGTCTTATCACATATTCTCCACCACAGTTCGAGCATTACCAGCTGACGGATACGGATGAGACAGCCGTTAACGCCGTCAAGCTGTACTGCGTCAAGCCCGACCTTCATCCAACTAATTACATCATCTCTACGGAAGGGCGTAATGGAGAGTGGATGGGTGAGTTGAAGTGGTGAAGTGGTGGTGGTGATGGTAGTGAGGGTAATGATGGTGGTGACGGTGGTGAGGGTAATGATGGTGGTGACGGTGGTGAGGGTGGTGAGGGTAATGATGGTGGTGAGGGTAGTGGTGATGATGGTGGTGGTGAGGGTAGTGGTGGTGGTGGTGAGGTTAATAGTGGTGGTGAGGCAGTGGTAGTGTTGATTTTAGTGGTGATGATGGTGGTGAGGGTAGTGGTGATGATGGTGAGGTGGTGAGGGTAGTGGTGGTGGTGGTGAGGGGTAGTGGTGGTGGTGGTGGGGTTAATAGTGGTGGTGAGGGGTGGTGGTAAGTCGTTAGGGGTTTAAGTGCATTTGATAGTGATGGTGGTGAGGGTGAGTGGTGATGATGGTGGAGGTGGTGATGATGGTGGTGGTGAGGGGTAGTGGTGATGATGGTGGTGGTGAGGGTAGTGGTGGTGGTGGTGGGATTAATAGTGGTGGTGAGGGGTGAGTGGTAGTTTTGAGTGTAGTGGTGATGATGGTGGTGGTGAGGGTAGTGGTGAGGAGGGTAGTGGTGGTGAGGGTAGTGATGGTGAAGGTAGTGGTGATGGGGGTAATGGTGGTGGTGAGGGTAGTGGTGATGAGGGTAGTGGTGGTGAGGGTAGTGATGGTGAAGATAGTGGAGATGGGGGTAGTGGTGGTGGTGAGGGTAGTGGTGATGAGGGTAGTGGTGGTGAGGGTAGTGATGGTGAAGGTAGTGGTGATGGGGGTAATGGTGGTGGTGAGGGTAGTG